CGCACCTCTCCCCCCCTCCCCCTCACGAGAGCTACTCACCTCGGCGTGGCTTTCCTGACTTAATAAAATCGATGAAGAGTTTGGGGTAGATTGCTGCGAGCACCTTCTCGTTCGCATCTTGATTGAACGTATGCACACCCATGAGGTATGAGAGATCGTCGGTGTGAAGAGAGTGTCGAGGATTTCTGTAGGAGTAAAGATAAACCTGAAAATCTGAATTTGAAGAGAGAGGTTTGAGATGAAGAAAGTGATCCTCACCTTGCCCCCAGGCTATCCGCATAGCATGTCCTACTACGTAAGTCGAAAGGAACGTCATCTGCGTGTCCGTTGTGTGATTAAATGCTGAAAGAGATCATCACTTGGAGCCTTAGAGTCCCTGTTGGCCTACTACGCTGTATGAGCGCGAACTACCTGGCCTTATACAGAGTAACGAATATAAGAAGAAGGCCTTGCAGTACAGCTGATATCGCCGCAATCCGGAAGATGGGTGGTGCCAGTGGAAGTGGAATGAGCACTTCGCGGCGTTTTCTACCATTGGTTGTTTTCTATCGAAGCTGGCCATTATTGGCGGAAAACGCAGCCGTGGGCGGACTCATTTCACGATTCTTGACACCGCCCAGTTTTGTTGCGACGACATCGGCTATGAATCATACAGTCCTCATCATTGCGGACCGGTGGGGCGTGTCAGCCAGTATGAGTGTGCACACTGTTGAAGCCGTTCTCAGCCTTTTTGTTGAAACGCGACAAAAAGTGGTAGAAAACGAGTAATACGAAGGATATAATACAGTAATGTCACTTGCCCGCTTCAACAACTGGTGCAGAACGACTTTGGCACCGCGCCAAACGCAGCCGCACTGACACGCCCCACCGGTCCGCAATGATGAGGACTGTACCGCGTTAATTATTTTCCAATTATTTGACTTTAGCCATTTTTTTCCGTCTCATGCATGCTACATGCCTTGCCTGCTACCGTCTTTCCCGGGGGAAAATTGGGAAAAGTGATGGATATTTGCTGAGAAGTTGGAAGAAGTTGGCAAGGTGGCGTAAAGGATAAGATGGGGGTCGCGCCAGAGGAGGAAATAGGGGAGAGGGGGTGGGGGAGCTTCTGGATTTCTCCTACCCTGCCGATGCCTGCAGTGGAGACATGTGAATACATGCAAACCTATGCAATAGCAGGAACGCCGTTTACACTTTACAGGAATGCAAAACCCACCAAGGTGGCACGTGTAATGCAACAGGAACTAGCGAAGGGGACCAGCGAAATGCCCCTCCCAGGCCGAACAGCGCCAAAAATTTTATGAGCTGCGTCGATTTTTACATTTTCTTCCCATTACAATCGCACCAGCTCTATGGCACTAAAATCGGGAAACCCCAGAAAGATTGGTAAGACTGACGTTCTCGTTCAATTTCTCGTTCATTTAACGGAAACTTTAAAATCCCGTTCAATTTGCTGGGAGTTCCCTTTTCAATTTTGTAGTATTCAGTGTCGAAAATGACCGATTCATTCCTTGAACCATCCTCAAAAATTTTCGTATTCTCGTAGTTTCAGCAGGTATTCGTGAATCCGTTCGCTGCCGGTGAAATTATTGTACGGAATATTACGGTGGATCGATTCGTGCCCCCAAATATTCGATTCCGACTCAACAACAACTCCCTTCAGATGCTCACTCATTCCGGCTATGTTCAGGTATGAATCTCTACTGCAAATCATTTTGGTATGGTGTAGGATGCGTTTTCAGTGAAATATAGCCATGATCCATGCAGCCGATGAGGGGGTAGGACGACGGCGTGGCTTGAAGCGCAGCAAGGGCAGATTTCCTATCAATTGTAGGGGGCTCAGCATTGTAGGAACAAGGTCGCCCTGGCCGCACTCCAACACGCGCCGCGTCACACGGCGAACAAAACATTCGTATACCCTTGACTCTTGCGCAGGCAAGATTTTTCACTGGAAAGCAAGAGAAAAAAGTTATTCAGGCAGCAGCGGACTGGGAACTACGCTCTGAACTGTTGAGTGTTCTTGAAGTTCCTCTGATGGGAACCATCCGGATACAGATGACTGGACTGATATCGGAAATCGATATGGCGGTAAATTTGTATGACATACCGTGTCGGTGAATTTGTATGACATACCGTATCATGCCCGTTATCCTGAACTTATAGTTTAGGAAAACTGATTGAAAAGTGATTGACTGGCTGCACCCATAATATCAGGATCACCCTGATATTATGGGTGCAGGCAGTCAATCACAATTCTTTCCTCGTTATTCCACCGCTCCTTTTCGTGCGGGAAAGGGGATAGGCGATGAACGGTAAGGGATGCAAATGGTTGACCATCTCCACCCAAAATATCAACCGTACATTTTACCTTTCAATATTTTCAGAATGTCACCCCCGACAGACTAGAAGTGAGCAACTGTGTTGCTCGTATTCGCGATCTCCGCCTGAATCTTCACGGTAGCGTTGTTGCTAACGTGCTTCAATTGTTCAGAGCGAGCTTCGTGAAGGGTATACGGAGGAAGCTTGAAGAGGTAGATTTAAGTCGTAGTAAAAGTACTTGCTCGCATGACACCTGTCAGGAAGGGCAATCAAGCAAAGGTAAACGAAAGTCATACTGGCAAGCACAGGAAATCGAAACAGGCGATTTACAACTGTAACTACCATTGCCCTAGAGCTTTGTTGCAGACACGTTGAGGCGGGGGGATACCCAGGATACAGCATCGTTGTGTCAAACCCATGGGGGGGGGTCGTACTTTTGCTCTGGGGAGGGGGGGGGTCGTATTTGTAAGACAAATTTATTTTGATAGTTGATTTTTTTCTTGTGGAAAAGGGGGGTCGTATTAATTTTTTGTTTTATATGCACTATATGCATTCTGTACGCCCGTGGGATATACGTTGCATAGTTATTGTATACCCCCGCTCGACAACTTTTTCGCCGACTATGTACTCATCGCTCGTCGTCGGCGAAAAAGCCGTGGAGGAGGGGGGGGGGGTCGTGCCTGGACCCTATTCGAAGGGGGGAAGGGGTCGTACTCACACCGACATTTCGCACATCCCCATGCTGTA